TAAAGAGCAAAGTAAAAATCATGGGGTTTTTTTGTAGGGTTTTATTGGCAATGTGACTTGCACAGTATGGTTCAGGTTTTTTTACTTCAATTCAAAATTCAGAAGCATATTTGTGGCATGAACATGTGGGATTTTGAATTCAAAATATGTTTCCCAAGTTGTTCTGCAATATCCCTTGAATATTGGGCAAGGAACAGATTTTGTTTCTGCTTTTTTTTTCTTTTAAAAAAGAGCACTAGCTTCTGTTATGAAAGGAATATGTAAGTTTTCAAATGATAAAAGCAAAATGAAAAGTTTGACTATTATTCTATAAAGCTATATACTCTTATGTAAAAAAGGATTATTTCACTTTCCAGTTTTGCCCAGAAAAGTGAAATGCCAGACCTGTTTGCAAATATTCTTGTAGAAGTACAAACTGCAGGAATAATCTCTGTAGTTTCTCTTTCAGCTGGCAGGTCATGTAGTCATTTAACCCCAAATTCACAAAGGATGTAGATGTGTCTTCATGCTATAGTATACAGACAGAAAAGTGTATTTGTAAATACTGTGAAACCTGGAATGCATCCATAGTCTACAGATGAACTAATAAAATTCAAGCCTTTATATAACCTTAAACCATTCCATTTCAAGTACTGGATGTATTATGAAACCAGCCATATAGAAACATTTTAGGGATGCAAGCCATCTCCAATGAAATGTTAAATTGTCCTGCTTGACATATGTAATGATCTTTTCCAGATTGCTTTGAAAAGCATTATCTGAGAATTGTGAATATAACATTTGTCTACATTTGGTAGACAAAGATCAAGAGCAATATACTGTTTTTTTCTACTATGAGTTAGACTCCCCCCCCCCCTTCAAGATTTCTGAGTGGGGAGGATTTTACAACTTTCCCTGAAATAATTCTGCTATATATGAGAGAGTTAGACTTCAGATTTAAGGCACTGAACACTCAACATTGAAAGACTGGGTAGTTTTATATCTCAGTTTTTTGTTTTCTCACTAAATCAGAAATGCACAAATTTTCTCAGGGGAGATTGCAGAATTTACCTTTTGAGCAGCATATCAAGGATTAGGATGATCAGAACTCAGAAGAGATTGGGGAAGGACAAAGTTTAATTTGATTTAAATTAAATCCCAATTAAATAAACTAATTAAGTACAGTTTATTAAATACCTCTACTTCTGCTATATTAAAATTGAAGGATTTGGCGACAATGTTTGGGAGGATTCTAGAAACTGTATCCAAGGTTTTCATGGCTCTTAGCTGGTATATTTCTGCAGTAAACCAATTTTAGAGACAAAACTGATATTCTCAAGATTTTTAATGGGAAGATTGCTTTCCTTTCCAAAAGGTTCCCAAGATGGTATATAATTTTTTTTTAAAATATACAAAATAAAATAAACCCATATTTAAAACAAACTGGGGAGCAACTTAATCCAAGTTTATAGCACAGGAAAATATTAAAGATAGGGAAATATTGGATCACTATGATCTGCTTCAGACAGGAAGGCAGTGCAAAGAGTGGTGAGGATGGCAGAAAAGATTATTGCCAGTTCTCTTCCTTCCATCCAGGACATAGCATATAAACATTGCTTAAGCAGGGTCCGCGAGGTTGTCTGGGACACTACACATCCTCATCATGACCTGTTTTCCTTGTTACCTTCTGGGAGGAGGCTTCATGGTATCTTAAGCAGAACATCCAGATTTATTCAGTTTTGTTCCATAGAGTATCAACCTTGTGAACTCCCAAGCTTCCTCTTTCCACTATGTATTCAAGATGGACAGTGATTAATATTTATATTATTTATATGTAAGGGTGCATATTTATACATATAGCATATTTAAATATGTGTTATGTATGTATACACCTTTGAGAGCAAGCAACAAAATTTCATTTTAATGTGTGCCAGCTGCCCACAGTAAAAAATGACAATAAAGATTCTCTCTCTTTCTGCCCCCCCCCCCCCGGACAAATGAAATTTGCCACACATAAGCAACAATCTAATTTTTTATGTTTGTTGATAAATCTCATTAAATGTTAAACAATGAAGTAAAAACAATCTCTCAAATAGCCTCAGACCTTTTAGATAAAAGAAATGTTGGTTTGCTCCAGAGATATAATAAAGCCATAAGTATGATCTTTAAGTAGAAATGCAGGATATACACATACATCAGAATAAAAAAGTAGAAGGAATTTAACTATCTACTTAGTGTGTGTCAATAAAGTAATTTAGTCACATTTAATATCAGTTTCAATTATCAAAGTTTCTCAGAAGCCCCACATAGTGTGCATTACAGTGGTCTAAAACAGGGGTTCCCAACCTGTGGGCTGTGGCCCACTAGTGGGCCATGAGGAGTTTGCAACTGGGTTGTGGAAATGGCCAGCAAGTGTGCACACACATCCTCACTTGTGTGAGCAGCAGGCAAGCATGGGTGTGTTCGTTACATGAGAGGCAGGCATGTGTGCACAATACTCACATAAATGGAGCTCCGCACAGGCGTGCACTTGCTGTCTGCTTGCATGAACCATCCCTTCCCTCCCCCCAGTCTGCAAAGCCAGAAGCGTTGGTGGAACCTCTGGTCTAAAACAGTGCTCAGATTCATTTTTTGCAGAAAAATGCACAAGTGAAATTCTAATTGAATAAGCCAAATTATTCTGTTGTAGGTTTTCCACCTGAAACCTAAAAAAAAAGACATAGTTGCTTTAAAGGACTGTTATATTTAAATACCTGTGTTGTCCAAATCGCTTCTTCCACACCATTGTTGAAGCATGCATAGCCCTAGTCTGGATTCTCTACCTCTGTGTTATGCTACATTCTTCCAGTGGTCAGGAAATACTGCCCAACTTTTCTATAATACTGATTGTGGAAAAAGAGGTATGTAGGAACACTTTTGGAGTGGGAAGACACATACTAGCTGTTTAAGCGAGAAAGAGAAGTCTCTGTTTTCTAAATAGAGCATAAACTTTTTTTTCTCCTTTCCTTTTTCCAAGTTCAGTGGGATAGTTATATGCCTCTGAAAAAAGGGTTTTGTCCAATATGGCAGGCGGCTGGACAGAAAGTGTCACCAAGGACTTCTTTCATTCTGGGCTTTGTTTTCAGGTTCATCTTACCACCACTCCACGTACTTGTGGAGAACTGTGGATATATGGTGTATAGAGTTGGTGCAATTAAAATTGTTTGAATGTATTTGAAAATGCCCTGATCTAGCAACCTGCACTGCTTTGTAAACATCATGCATATTGTTGCACTGATCACATTATTAAAAGAAAAGTGTTGTCCTTTGCTCACCAACATTTCTGTCCTGAAAGAGGTTGAGGGGAGATATTTAAACATGTATTGTTCTAACAACTTTGAAGGTACCCAACTAAAGCTGCCTTTAATTAATGTCCTCTGAAGCATTTACCATTTCTATTATATTCATCCCATTCTAACAAAACAAATTAAACATCTCTGAATCTTTCCCACTATAATCTGTGGGTGGTTTTTTTCCCCAAATCAAATTTCATAGCAACTCAGATAGAATCAGGTTGCTCTCAAATCTCAGAACATAAACTTGAATCAAATCATGCCTGTTGTGAATCCCCTGATCATCAAATCATATTGAATCAGAGCTGAAGGCAACAGGCCTCATAAAAATTATGTCCTGATCGCCATCATAGCCTGATGTGTTACTTGCTAATTTAGGAATAATAACGAAACCATGTAGATAAAATTATGTAAAAAAACATCTTTATTACCCTGCATTGTTTGAAAAATCTTAAAATACTGCTTAATCCCAACTACTGCTGAGTATCAAAATAGGGGGGGGGAAACGACCCATATCATGATCCTAATGTGAATTCTGCATTTTTGTGTAACTAACCCACCCATGGTCTCCACATACGATGTTTTTTCTCCTGCCCACTTTTTACTGTTTCTTCAAGTTTTGTCAAGAATTGGGGTGGAAATTCTAATCCTTTTATATAATCCTACAACCCATACAGCTCAAGACAGCATCATTAATGGTGAAAGATGTTATATTTCACAACTAAAGCCAGTTTCCTTACTTCCAGGTAAAAGGCTATCACTGATATTTTCTTGATACCTACTTAGTCTATCATTCTAGTAGGATATCTTCAGCCTCCTGAAGTTTATGTATGTACCCAAGGTATCCTGAATGTGCATAAGCACAATGTTTCTTTGTTTACTCTAATGCTTTTGCACATTAAGTTTCCTGCAATGTGCTACTCCTTATTCCCTTTTTAACTCAGAACACATTCTTTTCAGTTTCTAATATTCTTTAGACTGCTCCTTCATCAAAACACAATGTTTAAGCATATTTATTTGAATGTGTAAAGTTCTCTTAACTTATGCTGTGAACAAAGTGCTCCTCTAACAATCATTTTAATGGTGAAGACTGTGCATCCCATACACTCCCATTCTCTTCACTCTACTACTGTAGATATCACTGAAGGTATAAAGATATGAGGCCTTTATAAGGGGAGTTAAAACCTGGACTTTAGGTCATGATTCAACTTTGAGGAATTACATTATATATCAGCCTTGATTACCACATTGCACTAGTGCATAATAATATGCACTATTTTTGTATTTGTTGGTTTTGCTTTTCTTTTCAATAAAGCCACTTGTCTGAGTTGTGATTATATAAATAAAATTTGAAGTCTAAGAAACTAGACTCACTCCTTGAATAAGGAAAACAAGTACTTGAGTCTCTTCGAATGACCACAACTTTACTTTCAGATGAAAAATTTCCCTTTTATCCACGAGTATACAAAGTCAAGAAGGGAAACTGAAGAGGTGTTCTTTACAAATAAGTTTGAAAGTACACTTCCATATTAAAATAGTGTTTCTGGGACTGCTGTATCAACATATTTTAACAACCCTACCCTCCCCCTAAAAAAACCTGGAATCTAAAACAATTTTTTAGTAAAAAAAAATGTCTTCCATATAATCCATGCTAGTTTGAACTCCTTCAAATAAGCAGTAAAGACAATATTTGGAGATCATGTCAAATGTCCAATTTATTAGTTTTTATAACTTGAAATTGGAACAAACGTTGTTTTGAATGAGTGTACAAATGAAATGGTAGACACATGCTGAACTCAACAATATGACAGTAAGGGGAGAAAAGAGGCCAAAAGTCTTGTACAGAGAATAAAAGGAACAATAAATATTTTACTAAGTGATACTGAAATGACATCCTGCCATCTCAATATTTGTATCCATAATAGAAAATGTGCTCCTGTTTTTTTAAATGGAGCACAAATACCAAGCAATAATAAATAGTTCCAAACTTGTTGTAAAAGACAAAACCTCCAAGTAAACAACAAAAGCTCATACAATAAGAAATAGAAAAGGTAATAAAAATAGTTTACTTGCTGGTACAAATGCAAACAACTGAAATCAACAGTACTTTGCTTTGCAATTCTAAAATACAAAGAGCACCATAAAATGAGTATGTTTGTGAAAATAAAACCTTGGACTGTGATCAGGACTAGGATGAAATGCTGAAATCATGACAGTATTCAAAAAGTACATCTTAATTTTTTATTTTACATCCTTTTTTATTTAAAAAAAGTCACTGCAGAAATGCTCTGTGAATAAATTTTAACAAGTGTGGAACAAGCTTGAAATATGGAATAATTTTGACTTAAACAAAATTGTTTTTTTTTTCAGTTGTAACAGCAAAGATAACTACAAGGCCCACATTGTGCCTTGTAAAACTGGAATCCTAAAAGCAGAAAAGGAGGGGTCCTGATAGTTTCACTGAATATATTCAAATCACAAATGCTGGTGGTTCAGTTTTGAGTTCATCTATAATGAATTCACCTGATTACAGAATAAGGTGAAACTAACTTCTTGGAATGAAAATTATACTCCTGAATTTTGACCAAAAATATTCCAAAATTCACCAACCATATCCCAATTTAGGAAAAGTCAAATGCATAAAATACTATAAAGTGTGCCTTTAGAAGTTAAATTTATTATCTGCTCTTTGAAGTTCATTAAAGATACAACCAGTGAACTGTCTTTCCACGATGGATTTTACTGCTAGCATTATTTTATCCCTAATTTGGAAAAGATGAAAAAACAGGTTAGATGCATCTTCTTTTCCTGACCATAGCATTTCCTAAAGAGAGTTACATTTGGACATTTTCTACTGAAAGCGAGGCCCTCACCTGAGTTTTTTTGTTCTCTGCCCCTAAATTTAGCAAAAGACGCTCTCAGCAATGGAAGAAACTGAGGAGAGGATAAAATAGACTGCTGAGAAAGGAGAATTAATGAAGATCTAGCTTTTCATCTACTGATGGATCTCTCCACTGCACAAGGAACCTCTCATGGGCAAGAAAAGCCCTCTTGCCAATGGAGACATTTTAAATCTAAATCTGTATTTTGTTTTCGTGATCAGTTCCTCTCAATGATTTTCTTTTTCATAATATTATCAGAACCCTCTTAAGTAAAATTATCAGTAGCTTTTTCATCAGACTTCAGCAATCACTGCCTGCCTTACTCCAGTCAAATAAAATAAAAGATGGAGGGGAAACATACCTTAGTCAATAAAATAAGTACAGAATTTCATCCTAGTCCTTCAAATATTTGTAAAATTTATGGAATGTACAATTAGGAATCAACAGTAGCAGCAAAGCAGACAAAAGAACACAGACTGGCAAAACCTGTACAATGGTCCCTTTCTTACAGGAAGAAAAAAAAAAGTAGGATGCGCCTGGACCAATTTTTACTCCACTGCAATTCACAGTTGTACTCAACAGAATGCTGCTTTCTTCTTTTTTCCCTTTTAAAATCACTTCAGCTGAAAGCTGTGAAGAGAATAGGGTAGAAGGTGGAAATGAACAGGTACCCTGATCCCATAAAGTCTCCAGATCAGGCCCTCTGAAGGAAGAAGGCTTTACATAGTAGAAAACCTTGCACAGTTGAGTGAGTTGAGGTCTGGTTACACATTACCCACAGTTGACACGAGTGCTACCATCTGTTCAATGATGAGAGGAGAGCAAACAGACTACTTCATCCCTCAGGAGATGCAGTGCCATCTAATTCAGTATCGCTGGATACCTTAAACACACATATATGTTTTATGGAACGTAGTTAGAAAGTTTACATTTGCTAGGAAAAAGTCACCTTCCTTTGTGTTGAGGGGAATTGTGGAATGTTAAGTCAAACAAGTTCACAAAAATGAAATTTCTTTTAACAACAGATAACAGCCAACCACCTAGTTCAACTATACCTGGGAAGGCCTTGATACAAGGGGTCCAGGCAGCTTCAAAGTTATTACTGCCTTGAAGGAACAAGCAGTTTTTTTGTAGGCCATTTCTGACAGAAAAAATATTTATATATATATTTATATTTATATATATATATATATATATATATATATACATGCACACAACTAAAATAGTGAACAAAAAATTTAAGTGAAACAAAATTTAATATCCCTATCACCCCCTCCAATAATTAAAAATAATAATTGGTTTGTTTCTTTTACCCATAGGTTGTCAAACAACCATTTTACTTTACCTTCTTCTGTACAATAAGGTCTTGACATACAAATTTTTTTACTATTTTATCCTGCCAAATTAAAAAAATATATTATGGCAGCCTGTTTGTTTGTTTTTATTTTTATTTCCAAATTCACTAACAAAAAAGTACATTAAATCCCTTTAAAAGGACAAGCGTACAGTTAAAAAATTACAAGTTCCAGTAAAAATACAGCAAGTGCCTACATTATATGAATCAACCAATATCAATATTCATTCCAGAAGAAGAGGGAAGGGAGAAGTTGCTAAGGGAGGAAGAGATAAAAATAGGTACAGGTCAGAAATGTGATTTTTTTTAATCTGCAAAGCAATAACAATATTAAGCATTTTTTCTACGTACTTTTTCTACATGGTGTAGCAGTCACCTTTTAATCCCCAAATACAAGTTTCTATACATTTTTTCTTGAAATAAAAATTCAACACCCAAGGCAGAAAAAAAATACTAAAACTCAGACTTTACAGTTACAGTGACAAGAACAAATTTTATAGACCCACCATTTAAATTTTACTGCAACATTTTCAAGGAAAAAAGAGAAAAGTTTTTTTTTTCTTTCTGGTTTTGTAAAATGCCCAGGCATTCTCCATTATTACAAATACTGGTCCACTTTTACAGTAATCAAGAAATTTTAATATATATAATATATACTAAAACCCCGTCACCAAAAGAAAACAATATACACATGGCCATTATGGCATTTTTAATAACCTATTAAGCAAACTTTGAAAAAAAAAAAGATTGCTCAAACACACATACACACATTTTTTTACCCTTGTATGTATTCAATACTGTAAACGTATTTTAAGACAGAGTGCACTAAATTTAACTTTTTAAAAAATTAGCTGTTGTTCCTGAATTATTTTTCATTCAATGATAACAACTTGCAATTTGTGTCATTTGAGTTTTAATTCAGCAGTAAATCATTTCCATTCCATTTCCTAAGCAGCGTTGTCCTGAAAAAAAAGAGAAAGGCTGAGAATAATTCAGCAAATGGATGTCCGAAGTTGTGCTGGATATACATCTTCATTTGATTGGGTCTTATGGCATTTTCATGTCCACTATCTTCAACCAGGCTTTTTTTAAAAAAATGTAAATGTGGCTCTTTTTTTTTTCATCTAAAGAACATACCTTTCTTGTTCTATCTTTTTTGAAAAGTCTTTTCATTTCACAAAAATTGTTTGCATGTGTCTCAAGAGACTGAAATAGGAAGATCAGTTTTCAAGGCACTCACATCAAATTGAAATGGCAGTAGAAAAACTGTCCAATAAATTATTATTAGTTTTTTATAGTGCCAGTATTGTGAATGCCATGCTTAGCAACACTGACACTTAATCTCAGATGTCCCCCTTTAATAATTTCACCCATCTCTGGGCCAAGCAAAGACAAAAATGCTGTAATTTCTTGTTTAGAAGCCACTGGTCTTCAATGCAAACAAATAAACAAAAAAATAGTTTTAAAGTGCGGGTCAACAGAATCAAAATGTAAATTTTATAATAATGTATACTAACTATATCAGGGGTTTTCAATTTATTACCTAGAAAGTCTTAGATTATGAAGATTTGTATATAGATATGTGTGTTCGCGTGTGTTTTGTTTTTCCTTCCATCCAATCATGTCCGATTCTTGGAGACTGCCTGAAAGTTTTCTTGGCAAAGTTTCTCATAAGTGATTTGCCACTGTCTCCTTCCTAGGGTTGAAAGAAAGTGACTAGTCGAGATAACTCAGCCAGCTTTTTGTTTAAAGAGTGACTAGAACTCACAGTCTCCTGGTTTCTAACTGGTTTCTGACTTAACCTCTACATCAAAAGCACACAAACATACACAAACAGATAAAGATAAACATTTCATCTGAGGGCACCTGTTCTGATCTGAAAGGCTAAAAGAACAGCAAAGAATTAGAGCTATAATAACTTGCAAAAAGTATTATATGTCAAGATGAAAGGACCTTTGTAAATAAGGGAAAGCATATTGTTCCACGTTTGATCAATTAACATGTCAGTTAAAGAAATTAGGCTTTGCTCTCAGTCAAAATACTCAAGTTGAGGAGAAGAAAATGAAGAAGAGCCTTTATCTCTTCTAGCCACTGTCCATGCTTCCCTCAGAAGAACCATGGAACTAGAAACAGAAAAGCAAAGCAAGTGAATAAACACTACAATATATTTTCTTCTTCAAATCAATGTTATTTACCAAGTGAAGGTTCCGAATTAAAAGGGTTTTCAATAAAATATTCAAACAGAAGTAACAATGAAGCAACTGGTGACTTCAGTAAAATTCAGGGAACATTTCAGCAATTCCCATTGAAAGAACCTCTATTTACCATTTACAATTTAATTGGAAAAAAGATTTAATATAAATGAAGTATCTCCAATAACTATGCAATGTGTAAAATGGGGCTGAAATGTTTTTGGCAAAACAAATGTACAAAAACAGTGTATTTTAAAAAAAAAATGCTAAATTAAAAAATGCATAAGCCCAAAACATCTTATTTAAAATGGCAGAGTTTTTAAGAAAGTTTTAATTTCAAACATTAAGAAGAGCTTTGTATAACTGTATAAATTCAGAATTTATCAAGAAATTGTCTTTTACATTTTGTTAAAGGACTCAAATCTGCAATTTCAAACACAAGAGTTTAGTGAAATCAAGCACCTTTCATTTCAGTACCATTTGAAAGGCTGCAAAATTTAAAACCTTAAAAAAATTAATGCTTACAAGTTGTTTAAATGGCACTCTCCTAAGAATGGTTGACCTATTTTCCTTACAATAACATAATTGTGCATTATATGAGAATATTTTGTTAATGAAAAAATGCCTCATCAGTTCACAATTGGTCCTTATATAATAGTTGCTGTACCTATTATGTCTATTATTGTTGGGTATGAGTTTGCTACTGAAGTCCAGCTAACTATCAGACTTAAGTTGCATGCTGTTATATTAATGTGTTTTCTTTTTTACTTTTTTCAAACACTTTTAAAAGCTTCTTTAGGAGTTTTAGTATTTCTACTTGTCCCACACATTAAGAAACATTTTGATTAAACGACCATAGCAACTATAAAAGCATTGCTGTGTTTAATGTAAAGTTGCTGGCAACATAAGCCAGTGCAAATATACCTGTGGGCCTATCAAAAGTTAAACTTTCACTAATTTTGGGAGCAGTATCTGCCTTGTGTGTACTCCTGTCTTGAGCTAATTTAAAAACTATGAAGATTGTCTGAAGAGTTGCATCATGTTTTCTGTGATCATACAAGAGCAACTTTTTAAAAGAAAATGCTGTTTATATTCTAATCACAGGGCTAATATTCTTACGTGTTCCCATGAGAGTTTAACTGTGATGATCAGCAGCCTTATGTATTGGCTTCAGCATGCCATTAGTTAGAAATCTGTACAAGCTGACTACAAATCACCAGCAATATAGGGGCCTGCCAGGTATTTGAAAATCTCTGCTTCTGTATCTCCGGCAAGCAGCCATAACAGGAAGCCTTTAATGAACTACCATATGTGGCTGGTAGGCTGTTTCTAAGGCAACTATTAGGGTGTTGGATGTTAAGCTGGTTGGTATCTGTTAAATACTGGGCAAAGTTAGGGAGACATATAATCTTACTGTTTATTCAGTTGTTCTTTTAAGTTGGCCATTTGAAAGAGAGATGAATTTTAAATATGAGCCCAATTTAAGCATTATCTTAGGAGCCTGAAGAAGGCTGCAGCTGATCTCATGAGAATTTGGTAAATTCTCGTGAGAACACCAGTCATAACCCTGCTTTTTCTCCATACAATTATGGTAACATAGAGGATAATGTCAGAAGAGAAATTAAAGGATCCTACAATGAAGCTTTGTTTGGAGATGTATTTATTCCAGGGGTCTTCAAACTTGGCGCTTTTATAACTTGTGGACTTCAACTCCCACAATTCCCCAGCCAGGCACACTGGCTGAAGAATTCTGGGAGTTGAAGTCCACAAGTCATAAAAGGGCCAAGTTTGAAGACCTCTGATTTATTCATTCAATTATTCATTCATTCAATTTGTATAGCTGCCCATCTCAAACCTTCTGGATGATGAAGTTCTTGGAACAGTAACTGAAGGAGGAAAAATTGTCATCTTTCAAACAGGTAAAGAACTGTTGTTCCTAAGATTAAACTGAATATTCAATTTACAAATTGTTCTGAAGATATATGTTTTGAAATTATCTATGGCATAGACTTCTGTTTTTCCTATACCCAGGGATTCAGAGTGCTCTAATGATATTGGCAGTCACTTATTACTGCATTATTATACCTTCTCTTAACATACATTCCAAATATGATTCTCCTTAATTATAGAAAAAAAGTAATAAATTAAATCACATAAGAAGGATCATACTGAAAAGTCCTGACTAGTCCAGCTCTCTCTTCTTACATGGCACAACTAGATATCATCGGGAATTTTATTTTTAAGGCATGAATCTCTCATGGTGCATCTTATGTTCCAAAATAACTGGTGTTTTGAAGCGTACCATCTTTGATTCAGGAAACGATGTAAGGCCATCATGCCTACTATTCATGGATAAAGAAACCATACACCAAATATCTAAATCACTTGGCATAAAAATTGAAAGGGAGGGAAAATCATTATAGTAACAGCAGATTTAATTTATACTGAATCTCACAACGTTCAACTTTATCAGATAATCCTGATTCTAATAACTGAAAGAAATATTTCTCCACAGTAGACATAATTTTATACATGTTTGTTTTCTCCCAAGCTACTTGTTTTTATCTAAGCTAAAATGTCCAAGATGTAATGTTTCCTCACAAAGCAATTGTTCTTGCCCCTTGATAATTTTGTTGCCTTTCATGCATTTTCCAGTATGGTTTTTATGAGATGCTGTGACCAGAAACATACACAAATATCTGAGTGTGATCGCATAATGAAGATAACTATTGTATGTGTCTTTATAAAGATATTATAGTATCAGGAAATTAATTTATTTTTATTCCTTTCCTAATGATCCCTACTGTGGAGTAACACTTTTGTTGTTATTGTTTTTATAAGAACTGTACACGGTTATCAATGTTATCTTTAAGCTAACTATCAATGTTATCTTTAAGCTAACTATCACTATTTGTAAAATCCATTTTCTGAATGTATCTGTGCCAGCTACACTCCATAAAAATACTCATGAAATTAGGAATATAAAGTACATGATAATATACTTTTTGTTCTGAACTGCAATGACCATCTTAATGCCCAGTTATGCAGTTTGAAAAGAGCTCTATTAGAGCTCTTTGCAATCCCTTGTTTTAACCCCCTAAAATAATGAAATGTCATCAGCAAATTGGCCACTGGTTGCTCAGTCCTAATTTTAAACATTTATGAATGCATTTAAAAATACTGGCCCCAAAAACTAATCCTTGGGGAAACAGCCGGATTATACAACTGATATGGTTTATTCCTACTTTGTTTTTGTTCTTTATTCAGTTACCAGCATGGCATATTACATATCAAATGAAATGTTTTGTTTTCCAGTGACATAGGTACACCTTTAAAATTCTGTTTATTATCCATCTTGTTTAAAGTACATGTTATTAGCTAATTAGCTGGCATTCTTTTTTTTTTTTTTGCATTGGAGGCTGCAAAGTGTTAAAACTGTGTGAAATTTCCTTTAAAAAAAAATATTAGAAAAAACTAGAGAAAAAGGATTTACTTGTTTTATAATTAAATAATACTTACTTAATCAGGACAACATTTAGGGAAAGTTCCTTGTATGACAATGATTCAAGATTTAGAGCCACAGTCTTTAATTGATTAATCAGCTTTAAAAAGCATAGGGCAGTGGTGGCGAACCTATGGCACAGGTGCCAGAGGCAGCACTCAGAGCCCTCTCTGTGGGCACACGTGCTGTCGCCCCAGTTCTAGGCCTTCAGCTGGGTTTTATAAAACATTTTCGCTTTAGCCTCCGCTGCCGTGTGCAAAAAAAAAGGTTCAATCAGTCAATTTCAACTTCTCACGGGAAAAAAAAGATCTTGCAAAGTTGGAATTGATTGATTGAACTTTTTAGTCCCACCCAGTCTGCCGTTACCACTGCAGCCATGCCCAGCCAATGGGCCACACCCAGCCAATGGGCCACACCCACCCGACGATGCATAAGTGGGTTTTGGGTTGCAGTTTGGGCACTCAGTCTCTAAAAGGTTCGCCATCACTGGCATAGGGCTTACTCTCAAAACAATATTATCAGCATACAGTAAATTGTACCATAATTAAATAAAGAAATCTATGATTAATTGGGTAACTTTTTTGGTAGTCAACTAATACAATTATAAAATGCCAATAGTAAACATCATATAAGAAAAAGCATTTCCCCCTAACAATTACAATAGGCTGTCTGATTTCTACTGAATCTGTCCAGTTTGGCATTGCCCATATGAACAACACTTTGCAGAATTTCAAAAATGGATGTTTCCCAGACCAACTTGAGGATGTCAAAAGATGAACTGGGATCTTTTTGCACACAGAGCATGCACAATATACCCCTTCATTTCACACACATGGAATGATTCCTCTAAAATGAATACCTACTGTACATATTCTAAAACAAAAAACGTACATTTTCTTCAGAGGTTTTGTTTACTCCTAAGCAAATTTATGCAGATTTAATCTGATTGGATGGTTTTTCAGTGAATGGCATAATCAAAATATCATTTTGCACATATTGTGTATTGTGTATGCATTTCTTGATGCACACATATACTCACACGTTTACTAATTAAACTACTCTTCAGTTAAAACACTCACTAGTCTTTTGCTGCATATTGGTATGGAATGGTCAGTTACTGTAAATGTACATATTCAGGTTGTCCAGTAAAAATTACCAGGTGCATAATGTGTAATGTGAACAAGGAAAAGTGGCATGCCTGCAAAAAAAATATCAAGCTTTTCTTTCTGTTTTGCTTCCTAAGATTTTCAATGAATCACTCAGAACTCTGTTTCTCCTTATTTAATGAACTGTGTAACAGAAGTGGCAGAAAAGAAAATGGATAAGGCATTTAAATAAATTCTCTAAAAATAATGCACAAATTTTGCTATTGCTTTTGTTATTATAGCTGCCTTTAGAAAATGTGGTGCCCATTTTTTTATTTCTCAAAATGTTTATTTTAGAATCTGTTAAAAAATAATATTTTAAATAAAGGCCTCTATTTTAAGTGGCATCATCAGTGCTAATTTTCAAATCCAAATCCAAAAGAAAGTGCTAAAATTTTAAGATTGTTATCCGCAACACTATTTAATATTTCCTAATTCTCCAATGATATTTTTTTCTTTTTAAAGGACAACAACAAAAACATAAAATGTTGGCTTCTTCACAAGAAATTACACACACTCAGCGTAAGATTCAACAAAGCAGCGGCCCTCTAAAATTATAATTTAAATTGATATGCATCTCCCCTTGTAATGCAAAGAATCTCAGGTTACTATTGGGGAAAACTAGAATGGGATACCCAACAAAATTTCAAAGGAAATCTAAAAAAAAAAAAAAAGTATTAAAAAAGTACCTGCACATGCCAAAACATAAACAAAAAAACCCAATAAATACAGAAATTATTGCACAGTTAAAAGGCTTCACAATTTTTACTGCCTTAACCAATCCTCAGGTTTAATAGAACTTTGTAGACACAGATTATATTTAAGTGCCAAATTCTGGCACCTGCCATAGTTATACTAAGATATGTTTATGGAGGCAAGTTAGGTCAGCTTTTCTCAATTGGCAATAGTTAAACTGTACAACTTAAATGTTACCTAGACCCCTGCTTTTAACCCAGTTGGGGGAAGGGGGCTTAACTTCTTTCTGCCTGCTCAATTTTTACATCATTTGTCAGCAAGTGTTCGCCATGCCACTTTTTCATGTGTTTCTCCAGGGTGCTGTAAACACTGAAGGGCATCTGGCAAATGTCGCAGCGGTAGACCTCCTTCCCTATCTGGCCATGCGTTTTCATATGACGTGTCAGCTTACTGCTCTGGGCACATGCATAGTTGCAGAGCTCACATTTGTAAGGCCGCTCTCCTGTGTGGCTCCGGCGATGCACCGTTAAGTTACTGCAGTTCTTAAAGACCTTGCCACAGTATTCACACGTGTCACTCCGCCGTCCTTCCTTTGAACTGGGTCGACCAGGACCAGGTCCACTAATATGGGGGGTGCTGCCTCCGCTCGCCGTCCCACTGCGCCCTGAGAGACCACCATCCAGCATATCACCTGGTGGAGTAGAGAAACGCAGGCTTCCGTTCTCTGAGGAATGCTCAGAAGATGTTGCAAAGGGGGATTGTCGGGAGTCTGTGAATCCTAGAAATGGATCCTTCATGAAGTGCCTTGATGCTGCGTATCCTACCAGCCACTGAGAGTAAACATTTTCAGAAGGTATTATTGTTGCTGGTGGCAAGTCCAAATCTTTTTCTATCTTTATTCTTTTGGAGGAGTTATTTAAATTGGGGCTTGTGATAGGGGTGGGCTTACGAGGGAATAGCCCTGGGAAGGGTTCACCTGGCCCAAAGTTTCTCCCATTCACTGTCCCTTCCTCAGTGCGGTCAAGTTCTCCAGCTACTGAGTCTTCATCACCTGTGTCTCTCTGGCAAAGGTCTCGAGGGCACAGATCTCGCTGATCTGAAGACCTTTTCATAAAGCCACCTCTTTTCTGCTTTTCAGCCAACATGTCACTGTATTGCTGGATAGTACCAAGGCTTACATTCTCTATCACTTTTCCTAGGACAAGGGATTTTTCATCTGGCAGTGATTTGGAACCATTCTCTCGGTTACGGCTTAGTTCTGAATCCATGCTAAAGCTTGACTCAGGTCGACTTTCATTTTCCAGCTCCTCCTCCTCCTCCTCTTCCTCCTCCTCTTCTTCATTGTCATGGCCTAGAGAAGGATCACTCTCATTCCTGAAATCTGCCTCACTAGACTTTAGTCCCTCTCCAGTTAGTTCACTTGTGCCAGGCTCTGGGGAACTTGTAGCAGATAATCCATCATCGGACCTCCCTGTCATGGATCCAGCTTTGTGCATATGTGTTTTCATATGGCGTTTTAATTTGCTGGCTTGGGAACAAGCATGGTCACAGAGTTGGCATTTATAGGGCTTCTCTCCCGTGTGACTGCGCCGGTGGACAATGAGATTGCTCTGAAACTTGAAGGTTTTTCCACAAAATTCACAGGACTTACTCTTTGCCTGAGGCTGAGGAGGCGTAGTGCTGCTTGGAGGCATTGGTGGCAATGGAGGGGTGTTCAGAAAAGGAGATTTAGGGCTTGGCTGGAAAGGATTCAATAAGCGATGCATAGGGTTGCTGCGACTAGGCGAGACTGGTGGCGGGGTGGCATTGTTTCCTGCCAGTTCTCGAAGCCTTCTGGAGAAATCCATCGCTGGCGACTCAATTGCCATGGGATTTAAACGCATGACTCTGTCAAAGGCACTAGGATGCTGGGCAACTAACCCCATTTCTTCGGCACTAAGGCGATGTGGATCCAGATGATGACGAGGTGGCGGGCTGAAGAGGGGAGGTGTATTAGGAAGCCGACCTTCACCAAAGCCAGGATGATCACGCAGGATGGGACCTGTCATTCGTAAGAGACTAAAAGGGTTATTGTCACCTAGGAAATTCATCAGCGGGGACTGTGCAACAGTCTCGGGTCCCAGAGGAGGAGGGATGGTGATGCGTGGAGTAAGGGAGCTGTTTGAAGGGCTAGTTTCCAAGTAGATGCGGAATCCATGTGTATTCTGGGCATGCTGAAGCAAGAACCAAGCGCTATTAAAAGGGTGCTTGCATGTTGTGCAAATATAGCTTGAAGGCTCATCTTTACCTGTTGAAAAAAAGAAGGGACAGAGAAAAAGAGAGAATAATTAGAAAAGTAACCTAGGGACTGTAAATAAACTTTACCCCCCAACAGTTATAATGTAAATATATTTAATAAAGAAGGGGCATCTGTTCTTGTTTAACATAACCTGTACCTGCCTAAAATCCATATTGATCCTAAATCAGTAATCTTGGTCTTAACTTATAGCAGAAACGTTCTTTAAAGTTTTAATGCCAACTTAGAAGAAACCAACTTACATTTCTCCATATTTAATCCAAGGTTCTACTCATTCACATTGAGCATCTAGTGAAAATTGAATGTTAGAATCATGTCTAAATCTGAAAAATTAATCTTGTGTTCAAATATTCTATCTTTCCTTTTATCAAAAGCTTTAAACATGCTGATGTTTAAGCTACTATAATAATTGAATGGTAATAGCTTTTAGAACTGTATTTGAATTGTGTTTAATGTAACAATCATACCCATTATTTAATAGGAAAAGATTAGCAATTTATTTGCCTTTCTAAATATTCTTTTTCCTTGAAATATCCAGAAGAAAGGTTTGAAAGTTTCTAGGAAGTTTTTTCAAAGGCAACATAGGCAACCTGTAACTCAACACTCATGATTTTACAAAGTATAAAATGGAATACTAGACACAAAGAGCAGGATTTGTTATCATTATCTAAAATGTGAATTCCTCCATTGTGAAGCTCTAATTCAGATAAATTCCTAGGTATTCCACTTTGATTTTTGAAAGCAGCTGTTTCATGAAGAAAAAAAATAACATTTTCTAATCTTGTTTTTTTTTTTATTATTCCCAGCAACAATAGGAGTGATGGATCAGGAGAATATCATGCTGATCCTCCTCCCTCCCAACTTATGCTAAAACATAATACACACATAGCGTAAAAAAGAAACATGGCAATATGATCAGACATACTAACTACTAATGGTACGTGGGTCCTGACATTTAATTATTTTGATCATGGGTACTTTCCCTGAATATGACAAGACAGAATAAATGAATGTGAGCCAGTTTATGAATGAAACAGCAAACTGTCTTACTCTTATATACAAGCTGGGAGGAAAGCTAATAGGTAAGTAAACCAGACAATTTAAGCACACAGATGCTATTACCTCCCAAAGTGTTGGCTACATTAAGAATTAACGTGTACTAAGAAATAACAGCATACTAAAAAGCAGAGACATCACCCTGCCAACAAAAGTGCGTATAGTTCAGGCCATGGTTTTCACAGTTGCAATGTATGGCTGTGAAAGTTGGACCATAAGAAAGGCTGAGCGCCAAAGAATTGAGGCATTTGAACTATGGTGCTGGAGAAGACTGCTGCGAGTCCCTTGGACTGCAAGGCGTTCAAACTGGTCAGTCCTAGAAGAGATCAACCGCGACTGCTCTTTAGAAGGCCAGATCCTGAAGTTGAAACTCAGATACTTTTGCCACCTAATGAGAAGGAAGGACTCACTGGAGAAAGGCCTAATGCTGGGAAAGATTGAGGGCAATAGAAGAAGGGGACGACAGAGAATGAGATGGCTGGATGGAGTCACTGAAGCAGTAGGTATGAACTTAAATGGACTCCAGAAGATGGTAGAGGACAGGAAGACCTGGAGGAACGTTGTCCAGGGGTTGTGATGGGTTGGACACAACTTCGCAATTAACAACAACAACAAGAAATAACAAATGGGTGGAGGGATATTCATGCCTTGAGAATATAATACTCTCATTCCCCCTCCCCCCAATTTTAATAGTGGGCAAATGGCCACAGAAACGCTGGTATTTCCAAATGTATTCTAGAGCTTTGGAACAACATGAATTTCAACTATAGCTTTCTAAAAGCAATTAAAATTGGTGTTATAGTCCAAAATGTAAGAAAGGCCTCTTAATCCTAGCAATTGAGGCATTTGACAGAGAGACGGTGTTTTATGCCAATTCTGAGGTTAATTCAACAGTCAGTGCTCCTATTATTATTATTATTATTATTATTATTATTATTATTATTATTATTACTCAAAGTTAAATATTTCTTTTTTCAAACTAAATGTGAAAAAAAAATCTAGACCATTAATGCTTCTTAAAAACACAATGGTAGCATAAAAAGTGATAGAAATCACAGAGGTATGTTAAAATTTATAGTATATTTTGTCAAAAAGCTATTTGAACAATACATTTTGCCTCAGCTTACCCATGAATGGACTTTAACACATCCTTCTTTTGAAATGTGATCTAACAGCAAATCAAGTACACAATCTTATAAAGCCATACGGCTTCAAAAGAATGAATGTTCCACTTCCTTAAACTGATTTTATACAACTAATTATTTTTTTATTTATCAATATTAATTTATACCATTTCCTATGCAAATATGACTTGAAGCAATTTAACAAATAAAAATTATACAATAAACTAAAGCACTGTAAAATCATCTTAATTAAAATTGAGGTGTGGGTAGAGAAAAGGAAAGCAGAAGCCCTGAATGAAAAAATACTCTTCAACTGGCACTTAGAAATATTGGTTGAATATTCATAGCCAACTGAGTCTTCCATTTTTAAAATCACCAAAAGAATTTGCTATCAGCTACAAGGGATGTTCCTGAAAGATAGCTGTCATAATTAAAAGATAGACTAAGGCCAATCCAATAAAAATAGTTTCAAAATGGCAATTGCCTAGCCATTGGCATTTGTTTCCTGTGGCTGAAAGATTTTTTTTAAACCATACATTTACTGTACATTAAAAATTCACATTTTGAAAGGCAAGAGAAAATTAATCTATTTCACTTCTGCTTCCTGCTTTCCTTTCAAACCCCACTTATTAATGTGTGTCCCTGACATAAAGATATTGGTATAAAAATCTAATTTTGATTAAAAAAATAGGCCTTCTTTCTCTTCATATCTATGGCCCTAAATGTTTTTTGTTCAGCAGCCCCTGTTCACAATGCTATGAGACAAACTAAAGCTCCCCAACTACCAAGGTTCTGACAAGATTCATTTCTGGGTTTGTTTGTTTGTTTCCTTCTTTTTCTGCCTGCTTCACTTTTCACAACCCTCAAATGTTCTCCTTAGATTTCCCTTTTATTTTATATGAAGTTCTATTTTAAATAAATAAATAAATAAAATGTTCATTTCCATATTATCACTTCATGGTTATCATGCCTCAAAATTGCCCTAAGCAGTGTAAATGCTCACTTTTAAGAACAGAAAAACGTCAAAAAGACTTTGAAGATCCACTCAGAATATTTTTATATGCTAAAACTTGCCAAGTAGTTTTAAAATACTCAGATGGTCAGATAGCTCTGTAAAGTGATTGCTATAGTTGATGCACATTGCCTGCTTTGGAAAAAATGTGCCGTAAAGTTAGTTTCACTGTGTATCTAAGTTGTCTTAGCTTGGCTTTGCATATTATACATAAGTGGGGAAAAGACATTTGAGTCAATTACACTCTTTATTGTTACTAAGGATGAAATAAATGTTATGGTGTGGAGGGCAATGTTCTAGTCAGTTGGTCTTAAAGGGGTATTCCATTCTTTTCCTTCATTTATCTATTTTTCTAACCTTTCACACATTTAAGCATTCTGGGTCCACTGAATATGATCAATATTGCTAACCCTAAGGTGCTCATTTCTCTACACTTCGGTGTTCCTGGATGACTGATACTTTCCTCTTGTATACCAATGCTACTCTATTACATAAGGTTCTATATTGTGAGCAGAAGTGTGCTACCTGAATACAGCATATTTCCTGTCCCCAGTATAGAGTGCTCAACTTCTGGCATATGGCCATGAGAAAAATGCAGTTCTCCAACATGTAAAGTTGAATAAAATTCAATTTATATTTCTTTCTGCTTCCTTGCTTTGTTCAAGCTTATTTCTTTTTTTTATTGCTTTTACAATAAATCTGTTTAAATAATGAAGAACATCATTATAATTCACAAAAAGTAATTCCTTTGTAATTTCCATCTGCGTTCAGACTGTGAAAACTGCAGCTCTCCTCCTACAAGTAGACAGATACACTATAATAATACCACAATAACTTTATATCTATGGAGATTCACAGACATCCAGGTCATAGTTGTTCCAAAGATGCTTTTTCACAAGGCAACTGGACTTTCTTGTTTTTCTTTGAAGACATTTCGCTTCTCATCCAAGAAGCTTCTTCAGCTCTGACTTCTTTTCCATTCCCCACCATCCAGTCAGAACTGAAGAAGCTTTTTGGATGAGAAGCAAAATACCTTCAAAGAAAAACAAGAAAATCCAGTTGCCTTGTGAAAAAGCATCTTTGGTACCATAACTCTAGCAAAACAATAATGCTTGTATTTTGGAACACATAATAAAGTACATCTACAAGTGACCACAAAGTAACACAATCATATACGAAGTGCTTTGCAGGACTGATATTACAAATCCTAAGCTTACTGTTGATGTTTATTTTGATTCAGAATTTGGTTACAATAGCAAGTAGGGCTAAATAGGAGCAGCATGAGGTCTATTATCTTGTATTTAATTAGCAACACTTCTGAAGGCCATTTTCAAGAAGAGTTAGAGTTCCAATATAATTTTACAAAATGAGTTACTAAAAAATACAAGTGGAAGTTTAGATTAAACCCTCTGGAGGATGGATCAGACATATTAGATGTGCTTATCAATTTGATTCCATCAATAACAATGGATACTTTTTATTTTTTTAAATTTCTAAAAATCAAATTCATCATATTTTAAGATTTTTTGCTTCTATAAATCAGATTTCTATACAATTAGAATTTTGATTTATTGATCAAAATATCTGATTATGTATATTTGACCAATGTGTATCGTTTTCAGGAAAAAAACAGGACATTTAATTAATTGCTTAGGTTGATAATGTCACACCAATTCAAAAGATATAGTCTTGTACTATTATGATACCCTTTTGAATAAAACTTGTTAAAATTTATATCACTTATTTCTTCCAGGTGGCCTATACAATAGTTTCTCCTCCAATTTTTTCCTTCAACAATC